AAAGGCCATTAGATAAAGTGCATCAAATCAAGTCGCCCTGGCAACACAAAAAAGTTGCTCAAATGAAGTAAACCCACTTTTCTCCATCGAAAGTGTACACCATCTCGGTTTTCATAGCTTGAAAATCAAAATTGCTACCCTCTCCACATTTTCTTCGATGCACCGACAACCACTTTCTTACCTTCGAAACGTGGAAAAATAAGCTTCAACACATCCTCGCCCAAATGAATTAATGGAACTTCAACAATCAGCATCACCGTCCAACTGGTCCGTCCAAAACCGACTCTCCACCAAAACAGGATCAGGCTTGTCTAGACTCTTGGACCGATTGACTCTTGAAAGTCGATCGCAACTTTTCCACCTTCCACGGCCCTTCAGACCGTCACGCTGTCGCCACGGCAGCAGCGCCGTTCTGACCGCATTTACTTCGACGGGACTCGAGCCCAGACTCTTGGGGCTGCTTCCCAGTCCAGCTTTGTCGAGTCGCTGTCGGGGTGCAGAGGGGAACCACAATGCCGACTGTGCATGGATCATCAACAAAGGTGCTACAGTGTCCCTGATCGACTCGAGCTCGCCTGGCAACAAGCTGGGAGGGCAAAAGTGGACAATGGGCCTACCAATCAGGATTAAGCGAGGTCATGGACTAAACAGCTCACCGATTGTGTTCGAGCAGGCACTCTTCGTTGAAGCTCTTCGATATTGTCGTTGCCGTCGTCGTCGTCGTCGTCGTCGTCGTCGTCGTCGACATTGGTTGGTCTCCGAGGTAACTGTCGGCAAAGTGTGTGTATGTATGTGTGTATGTCTGTGTGGGAGGTTTATGCGTTCAAGTGGGCCTCGTAGGAGTATCGAGGAAGTCACAAGTCACAGGGAAAAGTACGTGTCGTGGATGAGAGTGAGACGGTTGCCAGTTCACTCAGCTCCAAAGTGATGGCGACTTTCCGGCGACTGGAGTAGTTGGCAACTTGAGTTTTTGTCTACAGTTTGCAGACGCTTCATCTCCTCCCCGCCGCGTGTCTAGGCAGTCTGGCGTCTCTGTTTTCGCCAAATCTCCACAGGTCCAGTGACGAACTCATGTCTCCTCCGGTTCTCACCGGCTTACAGGCGCTGTCAAATCGAGGCTATGCACGAAGACGAGCAATCCAATGGCTTCGGAGCACAAGTTGAGAGGGCGGACTCAAATGAGAGCATCAGAGAGAGAAAGAACTGTGTGTTTTGGAGGCGATCGCATTGATTCTCCACCCGACTCAAGTGCTCTTGAAGCTGGCGGTTTATGTGAGCCTGTGATCACACTCCACCACCAAAC